GTCAGACAGAGCTTCCAACGTTCCCGATCCTGTGCCAGAGTCTGAGCTTCGGCAAAAGACAAATGGAGTCAGGAACAGACACCTTCCATATGGTTGCACCAGGTTAATCTTGGCCGTAACCTGGTTCTTCTGCCAGTCGGATTTGCAAGGAACAGTTGCTTAGCCTTCCTTTCTGGAGGCATTCGCAACACATGCCCAATCCATCGCAGCAGCCATTATTTTCAGTCTAAAAGAACGATATACTGGTTTATGTTGAAGTGTGCTGTTTGAGGCAAAGTTGCAAAAATTCCAGATTTCAGGGTATATGTCTATAGCTCTATGATACTTCAGTACCTGTAGTACTGTATGCATCTCGCGTTCACTTTTTACTCAGCTGAATTGCGCCTAAGTCTATAGTCTTTACCGACATTGCAAAATAAGTCTATATGTCAGCATAGGCGGACTTTGACTACCTATTCATTTAATGCATTAGTAAATGCATTTTTACGACATACCTTATAAAGGTAGATTTGGTGCGACAATGAATGTTAGGCAATTTGCAAAATGTACAATCTCTCACGTGCGTTGATATTCCTTCATGAGGGAATAGCAGCTCTCTCTAAGTCGCCTTCGTAGGCAACGGGAGTGAGATAGACTAGGTTGAGTTCATGCAGTGTGGCTTGCGCTGTCGTATGAAGGCATTAACAGGACATCCATCACATCAGCATGCTACAGAAAGTGAGCTTCGATAGATTTACAAACTTTGCGCGGTTCTGCGACCCCCTTCAGATTTCAGTAAAGAAGAGTGCAAAAAAAAGGACATTGGTTTTACAAAGCTCCTCTCTGACTCGTGGAAATGATGTTCCGGAAGATAACTGGAAGAATGTAGTAATCGAATTTTCTTTGATAAAGTGAAACTATAAGCGGAAAGTGGGACATGTCAGTCAGCTTCAAGATATGCCGCAAGAGCTCGAAAAGAAAAGTACTGAAGTCATACTGCGAATTAATCAGTTACAGATAAGAACCCTGCCGAAAGCCCGGGTAATATAAAACGGTGAAAAAAATGCAGAAGTCGAAAAATACGTTTAACTGCTCCATGAAATCAACATTTAGCCTGAACAGGGGGGGGGAGAGATTCTACGGAGAGGGAAAGCGCCTGACCGCCTAACGTGCAGTCCATGCCATTAAATCATCTTCCTCTGCAGCATCAGGAAGGATACTCGCACAAATCTTTTCCATTTTACCATCCTGTTGGCAGTTGGTAATGTTGTGTGGCTGTGAAACGCGTAGTCACTCACTACAGCCAAACAGCACCAGCTATCTGTCACGAAAAAGCCATAAAAAGAAGAATGTTATAAATTTCACGTCGCCACCATTTCCCCAACACGACCAGGAGACAGTGGTCAGAAGCGAAGAACGTCGTTGCGAAAGCTGCTATGAGCAGAGCGTGTACTTCGGCTTACCGACAGAAGTTTATCTGCAGTGATCGTAGAATAGAACCCTCCCGAACATTCTAGACCGTTTGGTCACACGTCACTGCCGTAGGAAGAATGCTCCAGAAGCGGGGAGGGTCGCGCTTGCAGAGAGAGAAGCAGAAGATTCGAAATCGATGGGAATGGCGTGCTTGTGTATGGTCGATGAGATTCTTCGCCGATTCTTCGCTGGTTCAAACCATCCAGATAATAATAGAATTCATGCAGTAAAACTGCTACAAGCTATACTAATGGAGAACTAAATTATCTCGTGAAATACTTTAGCAGCATCTTTTTAATAGTTTATTCAATATGTACATAAAAACCGGCAGAATTTGTGTCGAGAACCAAATTTATTTTCATACGAAGAATCCTCCTCGCAGTACTCTTTCATCAACGAGCAGTATTGTTTGTTTTAATGTGGCACTTTTACCCTATAAAAGAAGTCCCGACTTAAATTTACAACCGAATCTGTTGTACACATTACACTTTCAGTCTGTTTTGTATGTGGGGGCGAATTCAACAGTCGCCGTATTACCTTCGAATATATTTTCTTCATTGCGGCTAATCACCAAGCATTTTCTTCTAGCTCCTGAATCTCAATAAGGCATTTTCCAGAATTCGTTCTTAGGAAAAATGTCATCGCCAACCTCGTCGGTCTCTTCGAAGCTGCCGGCTTTACCGCGCGGCTCATATTTCAAGAAAGATTGGAAAATCATAAAGAAACTTGGTTCTGGTGCATTTGGAAGTGTATATGAAGCATTCGATTTGCGGAGACAGCAAAGGTTTGCAATGAAGGTAAACGAGAAAAAATAGAATTCCGTAAAAAATGAATACAAATTTATTTTATTTAAGTTTATTCATCTGAAAAATGGCTTAATTCATGAAAATGCTCATAGAGCTTCAGATCATTTAATGTATAATTTCTATATTCATAGGTATTCGAGACTAAGTTCGAAGTGTAAAATCACTCAGGTGAGTGTAGTCTGATACTATTGAAACTGAAATCCAAAACGAGCCGAAAATTAAATATGATTTTATTTGTTGTCGACTGTGCAATGATGGTTTAGCACAACTTCAGCCATTGCGTGGTAGCCTATCGATGAGGTCAGATCAGTTAAGAGGCTGCTCAGTCTGTAAAGCGTTTGACTTAGACCGAGAGCCCTCAGGTTCGAACTCTGATTGGATTACTCGCTTTCCGTTGCTTATAACTATTACTTTGTAGAAAGGAAACAAGAAACTATGGTTTATGCTTGCCACGTAGCTGCTGTCGACTCTGTCTTTAAAATTAGGCCCGCTTGGCTGATGGCACTGAAATAGAGATCAGCGTCCCACCATTAACATCACGAATTAAATAATGTCAGGAAGGCTCCTGCCGTGATCGACGTAGAGATGATCGACTTCCTGGTGGCAAAGCTTTCATCCCATTTTTTTTGTTTTCTTCTTCAGCGTAATAAATATTAGTCGCCATATGTATGCAGCAATGAAGGTGAGGCGAAACACAATTTTCCTCTCAAAAACTCCAACAAAGCTATCAGACGACGCTTTGGCCCTTTTATGCATTGTTTAAACAGAGGGACCACGACGTATGTCTTGCAGAGGTCCACGAGTTCGAGGTTCTAGTTTGAAGAATCATCACGCGAGAAGAACAGCAAACAACTGCCAAGATTGAATATTGGAGTAGCTGATCATTTTTGTAGCTTACTTATCACTCTGTCACCGTACTGTACTCGATGGTGAGTATTGACGGTAATCGATTTCCCAAAATCGGCCCACTTAATGGAACGGCGAAGCAAAGCCATGTCTTTCAGATGAGGATAAAATTTTTTTCAACCATTTGAGTCAGATTTTACTGTTTTCACCTATTTATTAAATTTTTTGCAATTTTATTCTACTCATATCGAAGTGCTAGATTATTGACTGATCTTGCTAAAATATCGAAATTTATTTACAGAAAAGTCATTTACATACTTAGTTTAAGCGTCTGATAGCTCCTTATGACGATGATATTTAATAATGATCAATGTGCAATATTTCGACCAACCAGTATCAGTCTTCAACAAGTCGGACTATTGAAAAGGGTCTCAAAACAATCAAATTCGGAATCATCCACTTCCGATCAATATCATGCCTGAAGATAGACAGCCTCGTTTGTCGGCCTCATTAACTCCCGCATTTCAATATTCGCCTATTGATCCGTGTGTTTGTCTCTATGCCCTATGAATGAAAGCTAGACGCTTCGTCTACCCCCACTTACCGTGGAGCACAAGAAATGTGGCATTTATCGTTTTTTCAACGCTCATTTTCATTTCGTCCTAATTAAATGTAACAGTGAAGCGATGAAATTCACACTGCCCGACCACATCGTCTGTAAACATCAGGTTCCTTCTTCGAGCATCTCCTGTTTTGATGCTCTCGGCATCCGTGCTGAATGCACAGATTCAATCCTTCATAACTTTTGCAAGCATGAAAGAAGAGACTATACACCTCTGGGGAGAAAAAAGACCAACAAATTTTATCGATTTCTTGTTATTAATCCAGGCGCATCAAAATTCGACAGATTCTTTACGGAATTACAGCTGATATAAAATATACCACATACAACTTCTCTCTCGGTCTCGAGCATGATCTGGAACGTTGGAGCACTTCTATGTAACAAACTTTATATGCGGTGTCATGGTGCAAGGAATCTGTTGAGTTTCGGACTAAATTCTCGTATGTTCTCAAAAGGATCCACGTCAGCATTTCAAGCAATTCGGAAGCTGTGCTTTTCTAGGTTGAATCTGAAACAGCAAGAACACCGCTACTGAAGTTAGAAATCAAAATCTTGACTCGTCTTCAGGGTGCTCGACACGCTTGTGGCTTGATTGAATTCGGAACGATGGATGGCATGAACTACATCGCCATGTCCTTAGTGGGCAAGAACCTTGAAGACCTTCGACGTCAATGCCCCAGAAAGCGCTTTGGCGTCGGCACCACCACCAGACTGGCGATTCAATGTTTGGACGCCATCCAAGAACTGCACAACATCGGTTACCTGCACAGGGATGTAAAGCCACAAAATTACGCGATCGGTTTGCATGCGTATGACCGACACAAAGTGTACCTTCTTGACTTTGGCCTGGCCAGGAAGTTTGTGAAAGACGGCAAACTGCGAACCAAACGACGGAAACCAGGATTCTGCGGCACAATCACCTACGCCTCGGTCAATGCGCACAAAGGCAGAGAACTCGGACGCCATGATGACCTCTTATCCCTGTTTTACATGGTGATTGAGTTCATCAGAGGTCATCTACCGTGGTCACACGTTCATGACAAAAGGACATGCGGACACATGAAACAAGACCTACCGGTAATGGTCTTTAAATTTGTGCCTGATGATCATGCACTGAGATTTCGTTAGCGGTGGAAGGATCAGCATGGCTTTTACATTCGCAGCACAGTCAAGATCTGCTGAAAAAAATTAGATCCACCCATGCTGAGTGAACATTCAAAATGAGTGTCCGACATC